AGAGGCGGGCCCCCCCCCCGAGCGGGGCCCCCCCCATAGCCGCATTCCCGGGACCGGCGCTGGCGCTCTCTCCCTCCCCTCCCCCATGCGCCGCGGGGGGTCAATCCGCGGCGCCCCCGGGGCCGGTGCTCACCGTGCGCCACGCGCCCAGGGCCAGCTCCGGCACCGCGCATGCGCCACGTGCCCGGGGCCAGGCCAGCCCTGAGCACTTGGCGGGTGCAGACAAATGCCCCCGCGGGCACCGTGTTGGGGACCACGGGTGTAGAAGAATATTAAGCAGAAGAAAGAAAAGGAGGAAAAGCAGGACAGACTTGAGCTGAGATAAGACATGAATAGTTCTTACTGGCTATAGCCTGTTGAGCATCCCTAAACGAGGGATATTAAATATCGGTTAATTGAACATTTGAGTAACCTCATGAATACTTATTGGTTAGGCGGCTATTCTATATTCCCCCTGTTGGCTGGGCCAGCAGCCACTGTATCAGAGGCAGCAGCATGGGGTGCTAGGCGGGAACTGGTCCGCAGCAGCCCCTGGCTGGGATTGTGGGGTGTGTCAGCTCCCAGACACAGCACAAGCCAGAACAGAGCTGGGCTGCCTGCCTGCCTGACTCCTAATACACTTTAAATGCAGAGCTGCAATAGGGATAGGTTCTGGATCTGATGTGAGCCAGGACTGAGCTGGGTTGCTGGCCAGCCTGCTTAAAAAATGTACTGGCAAGGGAGTGGGGAGGGAAATGCGTGAAGTCTATAGCATTAACCTATAAGCTTTTGCTTTCAGTTAATCAACTACACCCGTGGTCCCCAACACTGTGCCCGCGGGCGCATTTCAATGTGCCCGCCAGGTGCTCGGGGCTGGCCTGGCCCCGGGCACATGGCGCACGGGTGCTTGCGGGGGGGAGCGCGCTTGGCGGGGAGAGCGCCGGGCGCTCGGCACTCGGCGGGAGGGGGAGGGAGAACTCCAGCTATGTAATTAACGTGTAAGCAGGGGCTGAACTGCTGCTTGCTATCAGCCAGCTAAAAGGAGGGGTGGGTGTGCCTGCTACAATTGTTTAGCTCTGTAAGGTAATTAACTGTTAACTGTTGATATGTAAATACAGCTCAGGAGAGAATACGAGGTGTGGCTATGTAAATACCATTCAGCCAGGGCGCGCGGTGCATTCGCGGTGCCAGTCCCGGGTGCGCAGCGCATGTGCAGCACCAGCTCCAGCCCCAGGCGCATGCGTGGCTCCGCCCCCAGGTGCGCAGCGCATGGGGAGCGCCGGCCCCGGGCGTGCGGCTATGGGGGGGGCCGCCCCCGGGGACACCCGGCTCCCGCCCCCTGGCGCCCGGTGGGCAAACGGCCACGCCCCCTGGCGCCCGACAACCTAAAAAGGTTGGGGACCACTGAACTACACTATTACATCTTTACCCTAAACACCAAGACAACATAGGAGTTGGAGGGAAGAGTCTTGTGGCTGAAGACAAAGGTTCAGTGCCTGGCTTGTTCAGACTTCATGGCATGGCATTAAATGTTTCACTTAAACTTAATCAGCAAACGTTGGTCAACATTGATTTAGCTATACATTTATAAGCTGGCAAAAATATGCCTATTGATGGTCAAAATGTATGGATTGGTAAAGTAAGCAAAATGCTGCTTAAGAACTTACTAGAGTTTGATTTAAGGACATTTACTGTTTATTCTGACAAGTGAATTTACTAGTGTCTATATAATGGTTACAAAGCATCAACTGTTTGAATTTCAACATCTGTTCCATTATATCATTGCCTGACACCTCTATAACTTTATGCAAATCATAAAATTGCTCTTGAATATTTTAAAAACATCATTATTCAATAATAAACCCCCCCACAAAAATCAGTGTCTTCCAAAGGAAGTTACTTGTATTAGTACTGAATTGCATTCCTTAGATTGGGAAACCAAGAACTGGTTTTACTCTTCTGTGCACTAGTCCCAAAACGCTGCCTCTAGGGAATTACACTGCAATAGAGATGGGGTGGGCAAATACTAGTTCACGTGCTGGATCTGGTCCACCAGGGTTAGCCTTTGGCAAGCCCTACACAGCCATATTTACCTGCCCCTCTGTAGGTATGGGGGACTTGCAGCACCTTGGCTGCAGATAGCTGTTCCCAGCCAATGGGAGCTGCAATTGCTTGTGCCTGTGGAGGTGCAGGTAAAGATAGCAGCAGCGGCCCACTAGGAGCTAACCCTGGTTGAACTGCTGCTGTTTTATTGCTCATCCTTGCAGTAGAGTAATAAACTGAAGTTTTAAATGAAATGCAAAAACTACAGTCTCTATATTTGATTCATATATTTGATTAAATTGAATTAACACAGAATTTTTTTTTTTTAGGTGTCTTGGCTGGACCAGTTGTTGATCCACATGTAACAGCAGTTTGGGGGAAGAATGTTACACTGAAATGCATAATTGAAATAAATGAAACAATAACACAAATCTCATGGGAGAAGATACATGGTAAAAGTACACGGACCATTGCTGTTCATCATCCTGAATATGGGTTTTCTGTTCAAGGAGAATACCAAGGAAGAGTGTCATTTAAGAACTACTCACTTACTGATGCAACTATCATCCTAAACAATATAAGCTTCTCTGATTCCGGAGAATATGTATGCAAAGCAGTTACATTCCCACTAGGAAATGCTCAGTCATCAACAACTGTAACAGTATTAGGTATGTTTATGTCTTAATTTTATTTTTCATCCCCCCCCACCCCCCCCAAGGAAAAAAAAGGAAAACAAATTTTATAGGACTTGGCAATAGGCATACTTAACGTGCTGTAGATTCACACCCAAGTTTGCCACACACTATCTTGCCACATACGGCTTGGCTGTGTTTACCTTCCTATAGTACTTTGAAAATTCAGTAGTGGGGTTTGACAGATGGCTGTTTGAAATATTGGTAGTAGGTTCCAGCTTCTTAAGCAAGTGTTGAAGCATCTTAGAGCCTTTTGTGAATATTAACTTAGTCTGCAAACTCAAGTTTATTTGATGAATCCTTTTGGCTGACATGGAATTAATCTACACTATGCAGCTTCTAGCGACACATGGGTATCACATAGCCTTGTTGCTGAAAGCCAGGCAGCATATCCACTGTTTGCTGGCTCTTTTGCTGACAAAATACACCCCCTCTTCTTCTACCCATCCCAACAAGCAGTGTTTGCTTTTATTGGCAGAAGAGGGCTCCTGCCAACAAAGCACTGTTTATGGTGGCACTTTCTGAGGCAAAACATTTTTTCAATAGGTGGAGAGGAATTGGCATAGCTGATTGTTAAAAATAGTCATTCTGTTGTCTGTGTGGACGTATCCTTAGAAGACCACACCACGCAGCAGTATTCGTTAATCCATTAGAAGCTGCTTGCTTACCCTCCCCCTCCTTTTTTTCACCCTTGAAGTAGCAATATCGTCGAGGACTACAAGCTTTTTATTTCCTAGTCTTTCTTAGTGATTTGGGGTGGATTTACGTATTTTAAATAAAATCAAATTTCTGTCCAATACTCAAACGTAAAAAGGGTATTTGGACTTCAAAAAATTAAAACCAAAAAGGTAATATAGTTTGGCTTAAGGTGCAAGATGGAGAAAGTAGACATTGACTGACTGAATTAATATATTGGGCATTGCTTACTGAATGAAGAGATTCTCTGATGGCTTATGATATGCTAACATGAAATTGCTGTACTTCAGATGTATGAGAAATATGTACTAAAATAGTGCAATTTAATTAAACTTTCACATACTAGTACAGTTTGAACCTCTGTAATCCGGGACTCCCTGGTCCGGCAACGTGTGTCTGGCAGGACCATAAATACTCCAGGACTAGCAAATCCCATCGGAGGGCTGGCGGCTGGTCTCGCTTCTGCTGGGCTGCCTGGTGTGCTACAACTAGGCAGACAGGCAAAACCATTGAAGATGACCAGCATGGCCAGGGGCCCATTGTGCTGGAAGTGGGGCCAGGAAGAAGGTGGGGGGAATGGGCAGGGCAGTGAATCTGGCAGCAAGGGAAAGATGGCCAGGAGGCTGGTGGCTGGTCCAGAGCTGGGGTGAGCTGGTACCAGGGGAGCCAGATATGACCTCCCCTGGTCTGACAAAATTCCTCATTTGGGACCTGTCAGATCCTGAGTGTGCCAGACCAGCAGTGTCCAACCTGTCTGTTTAAAATGAACTGTTTCCACTGGATGGGAGAAATGTCATTTATACGCTTGAAGTTTCAGAAATTCAGAATTAAGCTAAAGGAAGACAACAATTTAACAAAGATTGTCCTGAAATATTGAATAAATATTATACATAGCTGTTGATTTCAACAGAAAAATCAGTATGCAATTTAAAGGAATGCTGTTAAGGATATTTAGGTGTCTTGATATGATGAGATACCAAATGTCTGTCTAAGAATGTTTTGATGGATAAATAAGTAAATTGCTGTCTGCTATTTTTTTTAAAAGATCCTTAATGGTTCATTAAAGGATTAGGGAGGGAAGTCTAACAACTATGAAGTAATTATTTGTTTTCAAAAAATGACTGCAGGTTGAACTTTTCTAGTTCAGCAGCCTTGGGAGCTAACCAGTGCCGAACCAGATGATTTGCTGAACCATAGGAGGTCAATGTTGTCTAGCAGCATGACCAATACTTGAACTGCTTACTGGGCTCTTGGAATACATTTAGGAGTAAATTAGAACTAAACAGCACAGAACACTGAGAGCCAGGACTAGTAGCTGTATACAAACTTTATGGTACCATGGGAAAATGCGGCCATACCTATGGTAAGTGAATATCTGGCTCACTAAAATCATGCTGGACCATAGATGTTGCTGGACTAGAGTGCTGGGTTAGAGAGGTTCAATCTATATTGATACTTGTACTAAAAACTTAATTGGGCCTTTGTCTTACTAATTAATACTTATGTTTTCCTACTTGTTGGATGTTAATGACATCCAAAATGGTTAAAATGAGCGTAGTTGACAAATTACTAACTTTAACTAAAATGCTGACTAGCGATACCTTAATGGGGGAAAAATAAGGATAGAAAACTGTCACCGTCTGAAGTAAGGTAATTCATTGTTTCCATTCTGTAATAAATTTTGCCTTCGCCTATAGCAGTGGTCTCCAACCTTTTTACACCCAAGATCACTTTTTAAATGACACAACAAGCCAAGATCTACTGCCCCATCCTTCCCCCCAAGACCCCACCCCTTCCTTGAAGCCCCGCCCTCTCTATTCTCCTCTCCATTACTTGCTATCCCCAACCCTTACACTGCTGCCTCCCCCCCCCCCCCCCCCCCCCCAACAGACCAGGGAGACCCGAGCAAAGCCGCACAGGCAGAGGGACCCTGCTGCCCGTGCGGCTTTGCTCCTTTGCCCTGGAGCAAAGCTGCACAGGCGGTGGGGTCCCCCGCCTCTGCGGCTTTGCTCCTGTCTCCCTGCTGTGTCTTCCTCCTGTCTCCCTGCTGTTTTTAAACTGATCAGTGGCTGATTCCAGGAAGCCGGGGGGCAGAGCAACTCTGCCTAGGGCTTCCCGTAGTCAGCCGCTGATCAGTTTCAGCAGCAGCTGAATCTGGAGCCAGTTCCAGGGGTTACTAAAGGAACATGTTTGCTCTTCTGCTAAAAAAAAAAAAAAAAAAAGCGGAAGAACGAACACATCCCTGAATGCAGAAGAGTTTTTCTGGGATATCTCTGGAATTGATAACCTGGGTTGAGACAGGATGTGTAGGCTCTGGGGTGGGAATGAGGGATTTGGGTGTGGGTAGGGGTGAGAGGTGCAAGCTCTGGGAGGAAATCAGGATGCAGGAAGAGGTGGAGACGGGGACGCTGGCTCGGGGGAGAGGGCTCCAGGCCGGGCAGTGTTGAGGTCAGATGGAGGGTTGGGGTACTAAGCAAGCCACATGCTTGTGGATGTGATGGTGTAGGAATTTGGGTTGGGGTATGTGAGGGGCTCAGGGCAAGGGGTTCCAGTGTATGATAGGCTCAGATCTAAAGTCTGGGAGAAAAGGGGGTGCGGAGTGTTATGCTGTGGCTAGATGGGGGCTTGTTGGCCAGGCTTCGTTTTTAAATAAAATACTGTGTCAAACACAAAGTTTCTGCATTGTCTTTATTTATGAGAAAAGTGGGGAACCTGTTTTGAGTCAGGGGTCACTAACCCACAGAAAAGTCAGTTGGGGGCCGCACAAGTGAGATGCAAAAAAAAACTCCTCCAACCCCCCCCAAGTCTCCGTAATGTGTCCCCAACTGAGCAGGGGACACGGTACTGGGGAAGGGTGCTAGTGGGTACTGGGGCAAGGGACAGGGTGCCAGTGGGGGGCAGGGTTCTATGGCTTGGGGCAGGGGAGAGGGAACAGGGTGCCTGGAGAGCAGGGGACAGGGTTCTGCAACAGGATGCAGGGGACACAGAGCCACCCCCTCGCCCCAGGATCTCCTTCCCCGCCCCCCCTGTGGAAGAGGGAAGCCCTGTCGTGACCCCCCTCCACCCCCCGGACCCCACCTCCCCCTCCAGGGGAGAGGGAACAGGGTGCCTGGAGAGCAGGGGACAGGGTTCTGCAACAGGATGCAGGGGACAGAGTGCCACCCCCTCGCCCCAGGATCTCCTTCCCCGCCCCCCCTGTGGAAGAGGGAAGCCCTGTCGTGACCCCCCTCCACCCCCCGGCCCTACCTCCCCCCCCCCCCCACCGGCCTGACTCGCGGGGAGCAGGGAAGCCTGTGCATGTGCCCCCTCTGGGTGGGGTTTGACCCCCTTCCTCCCCTTGCGGAGGATGGGAGTCCCGTTCCGTGCTTCCTCCAGGGCTGGCGTGAGCCTCCTGCGGAGCAGGGAAGCCACTGTGCATGCCCCCTCCAGGGCCGACTCCCCCGTCCCGCGGAGCAGGAAGCCTGCGTATGCTCCCCTCCTCCCACAGAGAAGGCAAGTCCCAGCTCCTGCCTCCAGACCTGGGGCAAGGAAGCAGCCAGTGCATTTCCAGAACCCCTGGAAATGATGCACAGCTCAGGACTTTGGTCCACCCACTGGGAAGCCGCCACTACCTCCATTATCGCTGGAGGTAGGTAGTGGGGCTTCTTGGGGCTGGGGGGAAATTGGGAGCCCGGAACTCCTCACGATCGACTGGTTGAGGCCTCGCAATCGACGGGTTGGTGACCATGGGCCTATAGCAACTTAAAAAAAAAAACCTTCAGCTGTACTTAAGCAAAACAAAACTATTTGAAACCTCTATTGAGAAGTTCTTGAAAATAGCTGGCTCATTTCTTTAAACGTTTTAAGCAATGGTGTGTTTCATTACCCACAGATATATCATAACAATGATTGTAACACTGCTCATGAATTAAATTTGAGTTGGTATTTGTCTGCTAGCTACTCCACAAGCACGGAAAGTCCTAGAACTGCTTCTGTGAAATATGAACTATTGTGTTGTCTTTTAAGCATGAAAGTTCAAATCCAAGCTGGAGAAAATAGCAACATGTGGTTTTTTAAGTTAAAGAATTACTTTAAAAGTGTGAATGGGTAAAGTATTTCACTGTAAGGCATGACAGAGGTGCATGTCAGCTGCAGATACCTATAAAATGAGGAATGAGACTCGCTTGAAAAAATGGTTGGATATGAATTAACTGTTGGTAGTGAGGGCAATCAGGAGGGCCTTGGCCTTCAAACTGTCACTGTAAGGACCAGACAAGTAGTTTATAGATGGTTGTGTGGCT